TTTTTATACTGTAATGTAACTTTTTACACTGCAAAATTAAAGAAAAAAAATTGACAATCTAGACAAGGCAGCATGCTCAAATTGAAAAATGTATAATTTTACTTAATGTAAAGAAATAATTTATTAATGCAATTTTCTTAGCCTTTCTTCTTACAAATGTTACAAATACTTTCCCAAGAAAGTTAATTTTAATGTTTTATGTTCAATTTTTAACAGATTTTATTTTTCAAAGATTTTTTTCCTTGATTCTGTTTTTAATATTAAATTATTTAAAAATGCCATTGTCAGATAAAGTTAATTTCATATTTTTTATCTAAGTAATATGTATCTCTCCCAGTTGAATGAAGAGCTTTTGAAATATGCCTCTAGTTGTGGCTTTTAGTTGCACTATGAGTAGGCCTGTAGTATATAACACCATGATTTATACCAAATATTGTTTGAAAAATAGAAACCCTTCTTTGTATACATGTTGTTATTAACACATTTGATAACAAATATATTGATGATAAAATTTAACTTTTCATGAGTAATTTCTTTTTTTCTTTCTAAAAGGTATGTAAAAAAAAAAAAAAAAATCAGTGTAGAATTTTGGTTTATTTTACCATTAGAAAACATAAAATAAATACAAATGTAATATTTCTATACCATAAAATTAATGAAAAAGTAATTTATTAAGAATATTGTTTAACTTTTTAAAGCCCCAGTTTTAAGGGTTCTGAGATAAAGTACAGTCAGTAATCCAAGAATTATTCAAACTATTCTAAAATCATTTTTGTTCTGAACACCTTTTGGCTTTTGGTCCAACAATCTTCATAAATCATATCTTATAATCTTTGAATTTTTATTTACTCATCATTCCAATCAGGGCCAGTGCATGCTACCCTGAACCCCCACTCCTGATCAGGAGGGCCCAATTATGACATGTTTAATTTGTATTCAATTTATTTATTTTCAATTTTTCTAATTGAATTGTTCCCCTATATTGTATATGATCCATTATTGTACATTTGATCCCCCCTCCACCAGGTCGATGCTTGGACTTAAGGTAAGCTGTACATTCACTTGTTATCATGAGGAAGAAAGCAGACTAACACTCTCTGCCACATATGTTGGGGCATTTATTATGACATAGCAATAAATCCGGATAACCTTATTTTCTTCAACTTCTTTTTAGAATAGCCAATGGGACATATACTAAGTTAAAACTTAATGTTGCAAAAAGGTAGAATCCAAGTGTCAACCAGGACTCTTTGCAAATTACCTCCCCCTCTCATCGTTCCCTCTGTTTTTGTTGTTGTTGTATGTGTTATATGTAATAGGAGTAGGTAGGCTTTCCTACCGCCCGGTCAACACTCCTCCCCCTTCTCTTGGACATGAGTAGAGGCTTACGCCTTGTTTCTTGTTTAGGAAGGGGTTCCCGGTACTCTTTCTCTCTCTCACTGGCCTCTGTATTAGTGCAGCTCTGTTTCCCCCCGTGATGTGTGCAGTCTTGGCATCACCTCTTCATTCTGAGGGTATACGGTTGACAGTTCATTGGTTGCTGTTTCCGACTGCTAGTTAGGAGCCCTAACTCTTGCATAGCGTCTTGAGCGGCCGCTCTGATCAACAGTTGTATAATACCGGGGTGTTTGTAGTGCCATCTCATACATGGAAAGGTGTCCCTGCAGTCACCTCTGGTGGGCAACCCTGAGGGCACATTATGATGCAGGTGTGCCAACTCCTCTCTGCCACGTCATGGTCGTAACTGTCTGCTTCTTTTACTTCGGGCCTTCTCATCTTCCAACGAAAATTCAACATGACTTACAAAGACCGAAAAAGTAACCCTAAACCAGCGACTCATAAATCACCTAAACCCCTCACATTTCGTTCTCCAACATCTGTGGCATTAGAACAAACATCTGCAGTATGGAATCTTTCCTCACTGCAAATTGCCCGGATATACTGGCTCTCTGTGAGACTAACCTTGTCTCATCTATCCCCTCCTCTGATCTCTCTATCCCAGGCTACCTTCCTCTCCTCAGAAAAGACTCTATAACCCACAGGCACGGCCTTGGTGTTTACATCTTCACAGGTCAAATGATCACCAGAACTTAATTTCAGAAAAATTTAGGATTGAGAACTTATCAAATTTCATGTTCAATAATGAATGTTTTCAAGTTAACAATTTCATCTGTATGTTACAAAGTATCTTGATTTTTGTTCACTAACTGAAAATGGATTTATAAATCCAAATATACAATCTTTTTCTCATTTTCCCATTGATTACTGAAATTATGTTTACAATCAATTTTTTGCTTTTCTCTTGCTCATTCTTTTGCCGGGGGTGGTTTGGATTGTGATGGGCAACTGAATTTTAAGAAAAAAAAATTAGAGGAAAGTAAAAAACTTCAAATATTCACAGAGAATAAATAAAGAACAACTCTGCAGTGTAAACTGATTAGAAAAACTAATTGGGATGTAATGCACTATATCAAATTATGCACAGTTGGCATATGAATCATGAGTTGATGATCACTGGTTTGACCAAGCAAGTGATATGTTTCTGTACACCAGTTTATAAATTAAACAACAATCCACATCTACAAAATATAATGTGTGAAAGAGTGTGTAGAATATTCACATGAAAAGGTGCACACATAATAAAACAAAAAAGCTCAATGTAAAATGTACAGCACAAAATACAGAGCCTTAAAATTTAATATAATTATCTTTCTGCACTCTTACTACTGTCAGTTTCATACACTCATGCAATCTTCAGCTGACAAAAGAAGGAACTAGACATGTAGAGTGTTGCAAAGTGAAAGTGAGGGTAGTATTTATTGGAGTGTGCAAGGAAAATTATTTTATATATATATATATGTGTGTGTGTGTATATATTTGTAGGTGTGTAACATTTTTATAGAACATACAAATACTACAGGGTACACCATTTTTTGAGGACACGTCTTTCATGAGATCTGTCTTCTAATTTATTTTTATTACCTTCTCTTCAAATAATACTAGTCATCAAGTTAACTCAGCAAATGAAAAGGTATGCTGTAATTGTTTAAAAAGTGCAACATAGTGATTTAGAGATAGCTCGTTTCCTGAAAGTTGCCCAATCTTTCATTATCAAAGTACAAAAGGACTTGGTATTTACTGACATGGATCCAATAGCAGCAGCTGAAATGTATATTAAGAGTCCTAATAATACCAGAACATCTAACTTTGTACAAAAGGTCAAGAATATAACTGATAAGAGCTCCAGGAAATCAATCAGAGCCATTGCAAAGGACCTCAAGGTGTCAGAGTGCACAATTAGAAGAATTGTGAATGAGGACATTCAGTACAAGTTGTATGTGATACGGAGAAGTCAGTTCATGTTGGAAGAGATGAGAGAGAATTTCATTTGTGCAAAGTACTTGTTAAACAAACTAAAATACCAAGGGTCTCAAATGCTTTAGTTTTTTTCTGATGAGAAAAACTTTGACCAGGCCAAAAGACAAACCAAAGAAATGGCAGATGATTATACACACACTTGACCAAGGTTCTAAGGCTCATGCATACCAAGTTCCCAACAACTGTAATGATTCTGGCAGTTGTGAGCAATGAGGAAGATGCCATGCATCCTCACTTCTTTCCTCAGGTTTTAAAAGTCAATGCTGTTGTCTATCAGGAGATTGTTGTGGAGGTAGAAATGGGTAAACTGGAAGACAAAACCTTGTTATTGTTGATGTTATTATTGTGGAGGTTATTTCCTTTTCCACCTCAGCAAATGTAAATCCAAGTGTCAAACAAAAGAGGATATTGAGAAGGGATAAATAAATGTATAATTTATTTACATATATACAAAAACTGGTAACTTCTATTTGTTGCTGTTGTTAAAGCAACAGGAAGAGAGAGTGATTAAATTAGAAGTGAAATGGACATTGGTGGTGGATGTCAGTAGCATCTCTCTCACTCAGCATGTTGGTATTGACATCAAATACTGATCTGTGTTGTCTCTCTCAGTGTATCAGTATTGACATCAAACACTGGTCTGTATCACATCTCTCTTTTTCAGCATCTTACTGTTGACATCAAATGCTGGTCTGTAACAGATCTATTTGAATTTGTGTTGGATCGAAATTAAGGTTTTAGTTTTTGAACAGGAGTGGTTCTGACTGGTCACAATATACTATTATTTTGTTTTGGTTAAAGTGGATGTATGCATGGAGCTGATACACAGAAACACATTTCCACAGTCTGCTTTGGGTCATTGAATGGTCAACATCTGGTTTGTGTAGAAAATGTAAGAGGTATGACAAGGTGTTGGAAAGGCTTGTGAAACCATAGATTGGGAATATATGCAATAGAAAACATATGTCTTCTAACAAGACTACACTATCTCATATGGCTAAGACAACGCAAGCATGGATGCATGACAATCTCCATGATTATGGCGTTTTAGCTCACCAGACCTGAATCCATGGGTCTACTATATATGGTGTTGGGAGAGAAGTCTGTCAACACCCTCACAACCCCACAAAATCTCTCAAGTTCACCATATCCAGGACTACATCCAAAATTTATAAAGATCATCTGTTTTGATATGTCAATACTTCTAATCTCATTATCAAAGCAGCTATCAATGCTAACAGTGGATTCATTAAATAGGTGTGATAAAGGGATTCTTAAGATTTTTTGTGCCAATTTGTTTTCAAATAAAACTTTTTATTTATAAGCTTTGTTTTTTTTTTCTGAATTCTTGCAAATGTCCTCAAAAGACTGATGCACCCTGTACAATCATATTCTAGGCAGAAGTTCTGAAAAGTGACAAATTAAACCTAGATAAGATTCACAGAAACTAGACTGATCCTAGACAGGGAACCAGGGTGTGACACTTTCATCTTCAGCAGAATGCACCGATATTCTGATCCTAGGTAGAAGTGGTAAAAAAAAAATTATACATATATATAACATATCATATTTTGACAGGTACTATACCAGTTTATAAAATAAAAAGTAAAATAAAAACTTACAACATATGGAATCTTGAATTCATCAAACATTTCAAAGGCAATCTTGTCTGCACTTGTGACTCCAACTTTACAATCCAACAGAAGAAATGTCCGACATAACCTAGCAAAATACCAAATTTTGAATAATTGAAAGGATTTGAATAGTTTTAAATAGCAGTTTCCAAATTTTTGAGGACTATAATCTCCTTGTCCCTAAGGCATTTTCTCTCGAAAAATAAATTAATTTTAGAATAACAATTTCATCCATAATAACCTTCAACAAATGAAGTCATAAATTGGACATTATTTATAATGTAATGAGTTGGAAATAGAAAAATTGCTGCTGTAAATGTCATTTGCTGGTGGGCCAAGGAACTCAAGCCTAAATCAGCAGAGGTATTATTTATGTACAAAGAGAACTTTTTCCCTACAACCCGACCTCTGGCAATAATCACTAGATATAACACATACCTGTGCTGGTCATCAAATACAATACACTTGTCTAGGTTTTGAATATTTACTATTGCTACACTTTGGTGAAGATGGCTTGCATTCAGTGTAATCAATTTCACTGGAATTCATGTCATCTAGTGGATTGGTTCATTGTGTACCAGCAGGAAATCACAGGCAATGGCTTTGTTGATTTGGATGAGATCTCAATTGTATTGTTTCTTCAATGTTGGGCAATCTTACTGAAAAAGATGTAAATGTGCTAACAGAAGAAACAACACTGTTGAAAAATTATCAACAATTTAAAGGTGAAATGTAAAAATTGTCTAACAGCTATAAGGTTGTTTCCTCAATCACTTCTTTTTTCTGTTGAACTGAGAGACATCTGTTTGTTAGAAAATATAAGAGTGCTAACATCTTGACAGCATATAACTTCTACAGTAGATTTAATGTACAATGAAGGGCAGGGCTGCCAATTTTCTCTGTGAGGCATGAACTCTGAAGATTTCTAAATAACTCTCAGATTTCTGCACATGCATACTCTTTTTATATAGACTTCAGTCCAGAAATATACACAATTAGCTACTCAAACAAAGAACCTCCTGTTATATAATCCAGATGGCCATACTATGAAGTGTATTTGATTTTAGGACTGGATTCCTAAGTTTCCAGTATACAGCCATATCATGTAGAAACACTGGTTCTCATATGATCACCAAAGTTAAGCAATGTCAAACCTGATGATGGGTGGCTGCCTGGGAAAAACAGGTACTCTAAATTTGGATGTGCATGTGGTGTAATGGATAATGTCTCCAAACTGGAAAACGAAAAGCTAAATTCTAATTCTAGCCAAGTTCATTATATTCACTAACATGTAAATTCCCTTGGGAAAAGTATGTATCTACCTCTTTTTCTCACAGCTATGGGTTAATTAGTAGAACGTGTATCAGTAAAAAAATCATCATTACCTCCAAAAAATTCTTACAATCTTAATATTTTCTGGCTTTAAATAACCTGCAAAAAGCTGACAAAAAAGTTTTATCTCAAGATTTTGTGGTAAAAAAAAAACAAAAAAAAAACGATGTGTTGTTTTTATAATGTTAACAAATTCACAAACAGAAATCAGACCATTTTAATACAGATATAATACAATGATAAGCTAATGTAACTTACATTCTTCGGCTTTTGAGGTATGTTTCAACACTGTCAACAAAATGTTGTGGCATATTATATCCATAACCAGGCATATCAATCAGACAAAAATGGTTCTTCACTTGAAAGAAATTAAGAGTCTTTGTGTGGCCCTGAAACAACAAAAAAGTTTATGGTAGATTGCTCATTTGGGATTATTAGGCTTTGTGGGATACCTGTTTGTTTTCAAGTGATAAAATCTGACTCAAATTCTCAAATGAAAATGAGTCTCGACAGATAAACTATAAAAATGTTTACAGTTGTAGCAAAAGAATTTAATAGAAGGAAAAATAATAATTACAAAAGGCTTACAAAAATTGGAGACATGACAAAGTGGCTGCAATTTTATATTGGGCATTTTTGTCAAAAATTTCAATTTGAGTGTGCAGATAAATAGCTTAATCCTAAATTAGAGAGGGTGATCAATAATGAAAAAGTAGAGATTTCATGGAATATGAAGATTCAAATGGACATTTGAGCCCAAATAAGTGCAAAACAAAAATAACGTTCAATAAACAGTGCAAAAAGATAAATAATAATAATAATGGTATTGAAAATATCCTGCCAAAGATGTTATCTGTTTGAGGTTGCATGATTTGACAGAGAACATCCATAATGCAAGCTCTTTGGTTGAAGACAAAGCCAAAGAATAAAGCATAATAAGTAAATTAAAGATTTCTCGTCAAAGAAGACTGAATTTGTTGCCTTATTGACATTGTTTGTTGGTTGATAACAAAGTTGTCTAAAAATAAGAACAGAAAAGTTCTGGACACCTACTGATGCAGGATGTAGGTTAATATTCAGTTAGTGGAAAACCAGCAAATAAAATTCAATAACATGTTACAAATAATAATAATAATAATAATAATGGTTATTGACTATTTAATATCTATTTGTCCAATCCTGAAATCCAGTCAATACAAAAATTGACATAAGATTGGGCAGTTTTTTCATCAGACGATATGTCAATATTATAGCATGCCACATGCTGAAGAAATGGTATGAACATCACCTTGAACTAGTCAGATTAAAAAAATCCATTAAAAAAAAAAAAAAATACACTTATATGAATAATGAAAAAATTAAAACTTAGCTGATGTGTTTTGTCCTCTGACAGACAAATGCAAAGGCAATGATTTTATTTTGTAACAAGTATTTATAAACAAGAGCAAAAATGTTGTTAGTTTTTGGAAATTTTGAAATTTAAGAAACATATCTATGAACACAAAAGAGATCTTGTACACAACAATTTATCAAATGCATTAGTTATATATACATAGAAATAAATTCATCCACAACTTTGAGCTAAAAGACACCACACTTATTAAAAGAGAAAGTAACTTACTTAGACAGAAAATTCTTGAGAGTGCTGTATTGAATCTTATCAAAATATAAATCTGTGCCCCAGATTTTTTACATGGCTATAAAAATGTTAAAAAACTAAAAGATGGTTAAATTCATAACCTCATATTATTTAAAATATATAGCACATAAATTAATCCCTAACTAAAATAATTTACATATTAATTTGCATAAAAATTTCAAGAACATCTTTCATTCACTTTCATTTATTAGACATTTCTTAAAATAAAAAAAATTTGTAAAACTAACATTTTTGCTCTAGTCTATAAATACTTGTTACAAAATAAAAGCTTTGCATTTTCCTTGAAAAAGTCACTCAAAGGATGAAACACTAAGCTAAGTTTTCCTTTTGCATTTATTCATATTGTATTTTTACAGATAAAAAATTTTTACGTTCTAATATATATATATATATATATATATATATAAAAATATAAAAGTGGAAATAGAAGTCAACACTTAGAGGTGACAGTCTGTTTCATGCTATATGCAATCGTCAGGCCACGTGTGCTGTTATTTTTTTAGGCACACATGGCCTGACAATTGCATATAGCATGAAACAGACTGTCGCCTCTAAGTATTGACTTCTATGTTCACTTTTAAATTTACACATGCTCTATCTCTGATATTGAGCACTTTATCCCATAAATATAGCACATCTTAAGACTATATTTATATATATATATATATATATATATATATGGGTGTCAGTAGGATGTAGAATAATACATGAATAAAAGTGGAGATAATGAGACAAAGTGTGAAAGTTATTCAGCTGTATTTTTCACCTCTTTATAGTAGGCATCTTCAAGGCCTGAAAAAAGAGGCAAAACCCATGTGTGAAGAAAGTCTGTTGGAATATGAGAAAGAGGTAATAAAAATCCTTATCCGATGTGGTGGACAGAAAGTTTTTTTTTTCTTCTCATATTGAAGCTATTAATGAAATTAGCCCAGATTGAATACATTTGTTTTATTTTTCTCAATTAGTTCATCATATACCACATTGTGTTACTAACATTTTTGCTATGATCAGTGATATTGTATATGAGACCAGTCTGAAGTTGACTGTAGAGAATTGTTATATCAGTACACTTTCAATGCATTCTCTTCTTAGTGAATTCTTCTCTTTTCTAATCAGACTGGCATTTATTAGGTCAAAATTGTTTATAACCAATTTTCTTATTAAAAAATCTACCTGTAAAAATGTCAATGTTAATATTGATTCATAATAAACTTACAGGTTTGGATGAAATTCTCACTTTAACATCTGGTGATTGGTGGAAGAGTGCCTTGATAAGAGAAGATTTACCCACATTACTTCGACCTATAAAGGCAATCTGAAATGAGAGTAGTTTGTAAACAATAGGAAAATATTTTGTTGAAATTATTACATTTTCATTGATTATATATATATATATATATATATATATATATATATTCAGTCATGTATTGTTAAATATAACAGGCAACGAATGTCTATTATGTTTTATCACAAGCTGTTCCAGCTTTATATATTAGCTTTAATTTCAATTTTAATTTCAGGAGATAAACCCACTACATTTATTGGTTTTACTACAATCACCCTCTCTGAAAACTCACCTGTCACCTTTCTGATCTCAGTTCCATTAAACAACATTTCTTAGAAAAACAGTCATGTATATAATATTAGACAGTTATTAGTTGATAACACAACAATACTCACACATACACACAGTAAATAGAATGTTAAGATATTGGAGACCATCTACATTAAAACAAAGCAACCCACACTAAACAAAATTACATTTCAAACCAGTCATAACATATTACAATGCATTTAAAAACATGGTTCTGTTGTTAACAATTCTCTTTCATGTGGTCATGTATGACATCATAGATCAGCATTATGAATTTACAACCTGCATCTTCTATTCTGTTATCGTTGCATAGCAAACATCTATGTAAACAATACAGGATGTCATCTTTGACAGTAAACATCTGTCATACAGTCCAAATAACCACTCTAATGATGGTTCATGTAAGCTGAAAGCTTAGATTGATGAACAACACAATAAAGAAATATCCAAATATTGAAGTGTTTTTGTCTATTTTCTCCTGAAATTAAAGCCAATATATGAAGCTTGGACCGGCTCCTGATAAAACATAATAGACATTCTTGGTCGGTTATATTTAACAATGCATGTCTGAATAATGAAACTTCTGCAACTATACACTAAATATGTTTGTGTGTGTTTAAAATAGGATACAGAACCCTGACAAAGTTTTAAGAAATTTGACAAATGGAAAATGTTTCATTGACACTAGATTTGATTACACATTTTGCCTTTCTAGGCTTCATCAGATCCACAAATGAAAGAAATACATGTGTGTGGATTTGTGCGTATGCTTAAATAATGAATCATAGTAATTTTTTCCTAAGCTGGCATTTCTTGTGATTAATGAAAAGTATGAAAATGAGTGACTTTTAAAAAAGCCATTAATATACCTTCTGTATCTTTTCTTTACAAATTCTTAGTTTATGTTGAAAGTTATTAATATATTTTTCCCAGCTTCTTTTGTATCGAATTAAAGGTAAATCTTCATATCATTTTCAGAATGGCTCAAAAGCAAGAGATTCATGACTATATATATATATATATATATATATATATATATATATATATATATATATAAAAATGTATGCATAAAATAAGTAAAAATTAATCTTCTTGAAATTTTATATTTACAATTAATACAAATGATTTAAAAATTATTGAATGGCATTGAAATATTTTACAATATAGGGAGTACATTTTTGTAAGGAAATAAAGTAATATACTTATCAACTATTCTTCAAAAAATGATGTTCAAATAATTCTGTGATTCTCGTCCTCCACATTAGAGTTAATAATAACCCCTACTTTTTGAACACACTCCAGATCTTGTCTTATTTCCATAAAAAGAATTCCACTATAAACTCCAAGGAAGTAAACTACCAGAGTAGTCTTGGGCTATACACTAAGTTTAGCTAAGTATAGCACAAAGCCACAAGTAAGTGTCACAGTGAGGATTATACTCATAGCAATGGTAATGGTCTGTAAGACTAGCTCGACATTCATTACTCTACAGTGAGATACATCTATAAGGTTAGTTTCCAATTTCCATTATTTTCAATATTCTAAAGAGTAAAACAACATACTTTTTATGCACAATCAGTTTTAATATCTGTGATATTTTTGAGGAGGGGAGATAATAATGTGCATTGTAATGTAATGGATATCAGCTTGGAGTGAGAAATTGGAGAGCCGAGTTCAAAATAAAAAGAGACATGATCGCCCAAGCATGTATAACATATGGCAGTTAAATAAAAAAAATAATATTTGATACTTTCAGCATTCATGAGATTATTCATATTAATATTTTCTGTTGATATAAAGAGAGATATTACTACTGTCCAATTTTAAAACTAATTATCAAATTTATATCCTCAAGAAAGTTACAGCAATCACAAGTCAGTATTTGTGAGAAAGGAAGTGAAATTGAACTAATGGTTAACAACATTGGAAAATGGAATCGGCATACCAAGTTCAAACTCTGGCTAGGACATTTCATATTCACCTTGCATTAATGTCCTTGAGAAAAGCCTAAATCTATTTCTTTATTTTAACTATGAGCAAAATAGCAGTGCAAATTGGCTTCTCTGATCTTGATTGTCAACCAGTCTAGAAGGATAACTCTGGATTCAAACCAAGGAGAAAGCAATGGGAAACTACTATTTTCCCCAAGTCATAGTAATATACAGTTTACAGATATTAAATAAAAGGAAGCTATGGAAAAGCATGATCACCTACATTCCCACATAGTACTTAAATTAGGGATGGGCTATGGAGACCAAATTTTTCAAAAAAAGTCGGGAAGTGTTTTATTCCACTCATTTGTGTACAAATAGAAGAAAATGGGCCAACTTTTTGAAAATTGGGATGGGGCCAGACTGAAATGTGACAAGACCTGTCTGGGGTCGAAAAAAAATCTTGTAATATATTTCTTAGCCAATTAGAAAAATTGCTGGTGATTAGGCCAGTTGGTGATATGCCTGCATAGACATTTGTTCAAACCACAAAAACACAGCTGATCACCAGAGAAACACCATCAAAGATATCACAAATGGAATTCCTCATCTATTGTCATCCAAGATCTTTTGGAGTGCCCTACTTGCAGAAATCAAGCCTAATCAGTCATGCAAGAATTCATCCACCATGAAACTAACTGGATGACTTCATCTAAAAAAATGGTTTACAATGATGATGATGAGATTTTAGAAAATTGATTCAGAAGTAAAAACTTACCTCATGTAAATTTGTTTCAGGAAGATCTTCAGGCTTAATTACAGATTTTAAGAAATTTATTTGGTTTTTCTTGTATGAAGTAAACAGCTTTTCTGCTGTTTTCAGGTCTTTGATAAGAGGGTTGAAACACAAATCTTCATCTGGAAGAATAGGGATTTGAAGATATGGCTGCATTTCCATCAATGGGTTTCCATAAAAACCTTTAAGGTCCTTAGCAGTTGCTGATTCTGATTCAAACTGTAGAAAAGTTGTTGTGCTAAACTGAAGACTTGCAGGAATTGAAGAACATCTTGAACAGAGAGTAGAGAGCTTCTGATATGGAGAAAATGTTTTGAACCAAATGCCAAAGAAAAAGCACGGTTTGGTAGCAACTGTCATAAATCTTCTACTGATCATCTTTTTACTGAAGAAATAGTATTTTAATGAGGACTTTGTACTGAAATATAAAAAAATAATAGACATTAAAGAAATTAATCATTATTTGAAATGTTTGTAATTTTATTATAAGTGATACATTAGTGATGATTAAAAACTAAAGACAAAGGAATAAAGAGTTTTAAACTTGGAAAAAATCTTGTGAAATTCAAACAGTTACACATGTATGGTAAAAAAATTCATAAATTTTAGCAAAAACTCAATTTTTCACCAAAATATTTCAAAATTTAGGGAAACTAAAAATATTTAGCAATTTATGAGGTCTGATCAAAAAGTATTGGGTTGCTTATGGTAACAGGAGTAAAGTATGCAGAGTGAAACTGCTTGGCACAGATTGACCTTGAACTCTGTTGCACATACACACTGTTATAACATTCTTGCTCACTTCAGAGGTTCCATCAGTGATTATGGCTTGTGAAACAGTTTTTGGCAAATCACAACATTCCCCAGGTTCAACAACCACCATATTCTCCAGATCTTGCCATTTGCAATTTTTTTTCTCTTCAAAAATTGAATCCCACTTAGAAGGAATAAAATTTAAAGACATTGAGGAAATCCAAGAGAATGTGATGAGGCAACTGCTTGTTATCCCAAAAAAGAAATTCAAGGAATGCTTCCATTAATTGAAACTATGCTGGATAAAGTGTGTGGGTTTTGAAGGGGGGCTACTTCAAAGGAGATTAAATATCAAATTGATATGTGTTGTAGTTTTCTTTTTATAGTACTAGTCCCAATTCTTTATCAGAGCTCATACATGGGTACTATAAAATCAGTTACACTTTAATGGAAATGACCAAATTCTGTAAATTTAAAAAATATCAATTCAAATTTCTCCAAAATACTTAAAAAAAAGAGTTTTCAGAGATTATCCCAAATTAAATTTCACCAAATATGACATTTTAAAAAGTAAAATGAAGTAGATGAAGAAATATGGAAATAAGTATTTTTATAAGAATTTAGTCAAATGTCTGTTTTTTATTCAACAACATTCTTACTTCAAGGATGAATTCTAACTAATTATAGATTCTTACACTGTTTAAAGGTATTTTTATCAGCTGTGTACATTTATATATTTAAAGGAAAAACACATGAGTAAAAGAAAAAATATTTTCAGGATTGCTCTACACTTTAATATATAAAACAAAAAAATATGCTCATGACTCCAATTATTTTGATAATTTATATTAAAGTTACTAAAATACATTCATGAAACAAAACTATATTTTTTAACACTATTACTACTGCAGACATATGTCTACAAAACTTATATTACTGTCAAAATATATATATATTTTTCAAGACACTGTAATGTTGATATTTACATTTATGTTATAAATAACCTAGTGTTCCCTGCTACTTCCAAACCAATGTAAACTTATAGTAACATACAATAATACCTGTTTTGTGATGTATTTTTATTATATTGTGTTGAGGGTGTTATTTAGCTCAGTCTGTACTACAGAGTATTTGATCAAAACTAAAATGGTGGAGAAATCACCATCAGTGTTTTTAGTTATTTGTTTCCAGTAAATTGAAATTTACTATTTTCTCAAAACAGGTCAACAGAACCAGGTAACTATGCTATAACAATGCAGAAGTGAATGTGTTATTAAATGTACAAAATAATTAAGAATCATTATTTTCAATTGTTAATTAATGTCATATAACACTAATTATTCTTATGTCTTCATTTGATTTCTATCAACATTGACCAGTGTACCTAACCATGAAACATTGTTCAGCAATAAATCTCCAGCATGAAGATTAATAAACCACTTTTGACACATTCAAATGTTCACAGTACCTTATCCATAAACTACACAAATCCTTATTTTTCTTCTATCTTCAATACTAGACTTAATAAATAAAAATACACCAATTTTGATAAAATTTTATTTTAAAAATAAAGCATGCTCATATAACAGTTCTTACAATAAAAAGTCATCATCTTGAATGAAGCTAGTTAAAAACCAAACATAAAGTTATCTGACAAACAGAAAAAAAACTTTGACCAACCCAATTTAAATGACACAATTCCTGAAAACATGCCAAGGTAGATAACTCTTAATAACTTTTTTTTTTCTTGAGTTTCTTGGTTTGGTTTAGTTTATTTTTGTTTTACGGCATATCAACACCTCAACGGGTTATTTAATGCCGACAAAAGTTTTAGGATAGGTTCGTATGAATAGAATATGTCTTCTTTGTAATAAATCAGCTTGCAGATCAAGTTTCATTGACGTTTTTTGTAAAGAGGATTTTTGCCAAGAGTCAAATTGCTCGTAATATCTTTTTCAAAAAATATATTGCTGGTAATATTTTTTCTTTTAAAAAATGTATCACTAGTATTTTTTACTATTAAACCTATTTTTACACTTTCATAGTGTTTTGACCCCAGTTTGGGGGTTAACTATTTGCCCATGGCTAGGACCCTAATAGGTGCTACCACTCTAGGTCAGGATGGACCTGGGAACAACAGTAATTAAGAGGTAGTCTCAAAACCTCCTGATCAGAGGCCTTGCTGCCAGATGTAGTTTATCATTATACTCAGGACGCTGAGTTTTTTGATTAGAGAATTTGCAAAGTAAATACATTTATTTTAAATTATCTTAAAAAGGACAATTTTGGACAAGGAAATAGCTTGGAATCTTCTTAATTGATTTATTTAAAAAATCTTTTTATCATTATTTAAAAAAACTTTGCTGACCTTATTTGCTTTGTCCACATGTCTGCTCATATCTTTAATCATTATTTTATTTGACAAATTCTCAAAATAGAAGCCACAAGACACTGATATTTTGACTGTTTCATCTTACCTCTTGCCAGTAGTTAATTTTACTTTGTTTTACTGTTCTTTGTGACTTTTTATTTCATTTAGACTCAAAAATGCTCATGAAACATCAAACATTTTCTTACTTGACTATGATCAAATTAGAGAAAATTTACTCGATTAACTATGAAGAATATAGTTTAATAAATTCAAAAGAAAAGTAGCTAGCAACCTCGTAAATATTTTATGTAAAAACGAAATGTCTATCTGAAATTCTGGAATGAGAAGTTACCGTTATTTGCATTATTTATCATCAGAGTAATGTCCTCATCTTTGTAGTTATAATTTTCAGCCACTGTGCCTTTTTTAGGTATCTGTGAATCTGAAAGAATATTATGCACCAGAAATACCAACAACTAAATACTCGGTCATAACAAAAAGAATGCAGTGGCAATAGGAAAATAATACAAAAGAAAGAGAAGCTGTAGCAGAGAAGAGACAGGAAGGACATTGCTTTTTAAGCCTTCAGGACTATCCCATGTAACAATGACCTAAGTGTTAGCAAATGAAATTGATGATGTAATAATGAATTGGGGAGTATGAATATACTCAGGTCAGGACTAGCAATATAACTGAATGATTAACCATGATTTCCAATAGATTGAATAGCGGGTTCAGTTTGAAATTCCTTTACTGAAGGTCATCTGCATCAACAGACACCTGAAGAAGATTGGATGGCACAGTAACCCAAAACGTGATCATAATTAACAATGAGGATATTCAACTATAAATAATGTTATAATTTTGCTTGTTAGTTAGCACGTGCATTATACTTTGCCAATACCTCATAAATAATGGACTATTATTCTGTTTTGATTGCAAAGAGAGACAGAAAAGACATCAGTCAGAAAAAGAGAGAGAAATTAGAAGAGTCAATAACACTCATGTGTTTAAACGTCTGCTTCAGTGAAATGGAAGAACTTACTTAAAATTTTAAAAATCTTTTCATTTGTATCTTCTTTCTTCTTACTTCTTTAAATAATGACTTGCATGCTTATGATCGCTATTGCAAAATTTGGTTATAAAAAGTTGTTAAACTTAAATATTTAATGATCCAATAGTGGAATTTCCACGAATTCTTTGTAGTCTTGGAACTAGCAATGAGCTTATTTATTCATTAAATACCGATATGTCAGCAAATTAAAATGGAAAAAATTTTTTACGGGTAATGTGAATAATAATTATGAAATGTATATGTGCTGGCAGAGTTAACTCCCTTGCACTCTCCGTCTTCGATTATTAATTGGTAATTTTTTCACATAAACTGAAAACAGTTTTGTTTTGGGACTTCAGTTTCCTTTAAAGCACCAAGTTGATGCTACTGGATCCTTCAAATTCAAAACTAGATGGATTGGAGAAAATCATTTCGACACAGTCTCGTTTTATTTATTTTTTTTTTAATTGTTAGCTAAAGAAAATGAGCCCACATTGCCATACTCGACTTCTAAGAATACTTCGGAAAATTATTTCAAACTAGTTATGATCCCTGTCTGTCGATGAACAAAAAAACACCCACTAACTTTTAGCTTTCTTTTGTTACGATCGAAAATAAATGAATTTAAAATAAATCATAAAAAAAATCAAGCCAACAGCAAAAAAACACAAAAATAACAAAAAAACATTTCTGATGATGTTAAACAACAACCAATTTCTTATAGAAAATGTACTTTAACCTTTTTTTAACGTAAAGGCGGCGGTGGTGGGGTCATCTTGTACTGTCTACCACCTTATCAAAACAAAAGTTAAAAAACTTACTCTATTAGTCTAGAGGTGCACATTGCAAGGGCGCTGGTACTGTCTAGAACATAAGCCAAAACAACTCATTTTTAAATAATGTTCTTTTCTGAAGAGTTTTGAAAAGAAGTATTTTCGCAAGATTAAAAAATAAAAATTTCTTAAAGTTTTTAAATAACATAGTGTGAGATAGATTCATTAAAAAAAATAAAAAGTATGCCATACAAAAATACAATTACGGACTTTGTAAAAAAAATCTGTACCGGCGTACCAAAATAATAGAGTATATATATATATATATATAAAACACTTAAGCATGTCCCTTCAGGATGTGGACAATAGTTCTTATAATCTTTCGTAAATAATGTTGTACCCAAAAGAAAAGACAAGTAGAACAACACACTCACGTACCGTTTTTATTTGAATGTAATTTAACCAGAGTTTGATGACGTACTCATTATTCTGTTCGAGCTGACATCTGATTTCCTTTAAATTAAATATCAATGAAGCAATCACGAAAAACTTCTAAGTCACGTTTGCTGAAAGAAAAATAGAAAAAAAGTGTTGACATCAGTTATATCTTCCGCCATTGCAAAATAATTCAGGGGGGATAACTTGTTGGCCTTTTTTCTTTTTTTTTGTCTTACTTGGTAAGGCAATTGAATTATGTAAATTTATCCATAAAGATGTTTTTTTTTATTGTTTTGTTTCATGGCATTTAAGAAAGGCTATATTTGTTGGTGTAAGAAAAAAATGCGATCATTCGTTAATATAGCTGCTTTAGGAAATATAAATAAAATCCAAAGCACAAGAAAACCCCTGAATTTCCTAATTTAATTTTATTTAAAACTTTTTCAGGAATTAAATGTTTCGGACTTAATGGAAGTGTGATTTTTAAAAAATTTACCACAGACAAAAAAACTACATGAAAAATCCATATTTATTACAAATTAGTAATAAATATAATCTTCATATTTCATCAATAAAAGTGCAAATATCAGTTTTGTATACAAACTATTCTGATTTGATTTGAGCAATCTGATATCCTTGCTTAATAATGAGATATTCCATTGTTGTGGTAAGACAGACGTCATAGAGACCAGGTTGTTAATACATTACTTCGTTACTTTGCTTTTCTGATATCTTTCTTTAATATTTTTATATTTAATGATTTAAAACTTAGATTAAGATGCTCAGTGTGAATTGGCAAAAATTTTGTAGAAACAGTTGTTTTATTTTAGTTAAAAAATAATGTTTGCTCATTATTTAGCTATTAGTGTAGTATCCCCCAAAATGACATGATTATTTATGAATGGATAAATTCACAAAAAATTATACAAAAATATATGTAAACTGCAAAGTTATGTGAATTTACCCATATAAAAATAAAAAAAATAAAAAATTAGTGGGTCGTTCAGAACACAAGAAAAGAATCACTATTACTCAGGACAAAATTAAACAGAAATTGAACAAAATTTGTATATTTTCATTAAATTTAATTGAAAAGAAAAGTATGGTGTAGAGGCTTGGGGGATGAATTTTCACCAATTTGAGGCCCTTCTATAAAAAATTTGGGTAAAAGTTTTTAAATAATGACACATGATAATTATTTATTATTGATTATATATAATTTTTGATGATTTAGTGTTAAAGAATAAAAAATATATTTAAACAATATGAGCCCCAAGTGTGTCTGACCCTAAGTTATAGATTATTTAGGTTAGGAAAGTCCAACACTGAAAGGCTTGTTTAAAATATTCTTTTGAGTGTCTAATAAAAATTTAACTGGATAATGGGAAAGCGTTCATTTAAAAGTGGGTCTTACAACTGATAAAGTTAAAAATGTCTTTGTTAATCAATACAGTGAAAATTCTCTCATACCTGTCAGCAGTTGAAGTCAAACATAGCTGTCACAAAGAATGTTGTCAGTGAGGAAGACTGAATGAGGAATTTTGGTTGCAGCAATATGACAATGGTTTGGTTTGCATCTCCTTAAAGTTGGTTTTTGGTACAAATTGTTAATTTTTAATTTCAGTCATGTGGTCTGGAGATTTTGGTTGGCTACTTAGGAATACAAAATCTTCTTGCTCTCAGCTGCAAATGCTAATTATTAAGGTTGTTCTCATATCTATTTGACTATTCAATTTGATGACATGTTAATAGTGATTTTCACCAGCCAGTGAATTTATATCTATTTAGATCCCCAAGATTACTCAATTATCTTTTCAAATTATCACAGATTTGAAGTTCCATTCTTCTGATTGGTGCAAAATAAATCAAAGAACGAGATTTCCTTCTCAATGTTTTTTCCAGAACATTTTAAGATTATATACCTGACACAGATCTAGCATCACCATGAATAGGCTCAAAATGAAGGCTTATCAAGAAAAGTCCCATCCAAACACCTCATTGGTTATTGAAGTCTTTGCATAGTCTTTGTAGTAGAAGGGAGCATGTTGTTGCAATTTTTTCACATAAATTTTTATAAAGTGTATACTTTTTTATAAAGTGTACTCTATGTATGTGCACACGCACGCACACACACACACACACACACACACACACACACTGTCAGATTTTATTATGCAAGTTAATGTTTTCACAATAAAAATGTTATTAAGAAACCAATGTTAGTAAAATGTTTAAGATATTGAACATACATATACCAAGAATCCATGCTTACGCTACAATTTTGTAAATTTGAAAATCCGTTCTACTGAATCTGTTCCACATGGACATAGTATAGAAACATACTATATGACAAAGAGGAAGAATAATGGACCAATCAAAATATTCTATTTCAGTGTTCAAAACACTAAACTCAGAGCATCTAAAAAAAAATACAAATGAAATTGGTAACAATGTCAGCAAATGCACTTGCTTCCATGGGATTTCACTTTGGTGACTTCAAAGAAACTGTCTTCAATTTTCTACCTAATTTTACCAAGAAGTTTATGCCCAAGGACACAGCTGAAGGTTCAACAAATTCATCTCTCTCTCTCCCCCTCCCCCCTCTCTCTCGCTGTGTATTTACATTCCCTCTTCTTATGCATTTATACATATATTTAAATTGTGGAAGGTCTAGGGGTGATAATTTGGTCTTGTAAAAATATGAAAATTCATCCACAAAGAAAAAGTAAAAGAAAAGCAGAATGCAAATAAAGTGTAAATCCAAATTTTTTATATTTCAAAAACTGATGAAGTGTTTTACAAAAATATTTTCCCTTTTTCTTTTAGTCCAGTTTCTTTTTACGAAGACAACATGAAATAGAAGAGACGCATGAAGATTTCTTACTGACACCTTTTATTATGACAACTTGGATTGTTACATTCATCTGCTACTCAGATTCCACATGGACTGTTTACTTAATACATTATCCTTTTATTTATACCTGACACATAGACCTAGTAGTAGACACAAAATGTGTCTAAATATATAACAGAAAAATACTCAGCTCTATTTGAATGTGTTACTTGTATATCATTTCTAATAACTTATATGTGCTTAAAAGCTGAAATTTTGCTGATTAATAATTTGATATATGTTTTAAATACTGTGTAATTCTTATGTTTCTCCATTGTAGTCAGTTTCGTCATGCTTGGAATAAAATTCCTGTTCAGAAATTGATGTGACAGATTACTTACACAACAAAGTAAATAAATCATTAGTCCAAACAGTCAGAAATCCAACACACCAGCTGATGGATGAGGTAGCAAAATAAACAAATTTGTTTTTGTTTCTCCCCAATTCTGCTTTTATTGACAGAACAATTTTTTCATTGGTTGACAAGTGGGAGAGGACACATAATATTAGCATATCCAAGATACATTAATGGCAACACCTGTGACTGACTTGTTTCTATTTTGGATATTGCATCTTCAGTATATCATGCAGAGTATGTGCCCTTTTTCTCGGTAAGTCTTTTTCGTCATATTCACTAATGTAGAATACATGTAACACATTGTCGCTTGCTTTGATGAAGTAATTTACCACTTTCTTCACTACATCCATAAATTATGAGGTGATTGAATTTTATTTTAATTTGATATCAATTCAACAGGGATAACATATCTTATTAATTTTTAGTGAGATGATATTTTTATTTTGTTTGAAATCAGTTAATAGCATATGTTCAGATAATGCACCCATTGTGATTTGAATTTACCAAATCATAATTTACATAGATTTTTAGAGTTTTTCTTCATAAATTCTACAAAATCAAATATCTGAAAAGAACATTCATTTCATGCAAACCTTTTTCTTTATCAAGCAACATTAAATTACACTAACTTACCAACAATACATTTTTATATTAAAAATAAGAGCAATACATTTTTATATCTCAATTGTTTTGTTTGAATCATTTCTATAAAATTATCATTATTATTATATTGTTAATACATGATGTGGGTTGAATTAATTTAATTTGAAATGGTTAAAATGTCTACTAAATTCTGTTAAAAGACTCATGGTTAATCTAAATGATCTTCCAAATAAATATTAACTTTCAGTTCTCTTTGATATATTTGTATTTAAAAGATCAATGTGTCAAATGAGTTTTAGTTTAGCTATTTTTATTTTGGTTAATTTATTATACAAGCAAAGAGCAGCATAATTTTTTTAAAATAAATCCAGAAGTTATAACAGAGAAACATATATTTCATTAACACAATTTCCTTTATATCTGATTAAATTATTATTTCATATGTTACATTCTCTAGCCTTTATTAGCCTTTCATTTAATAGGGGCAAATATATCACATTGTAGTCAACATTTAATAGGGTACATATATCAAGTCATGTTGGGAATATCACCAGTTTGTATTTCCCCCCATTATGGATATTATTATATCCATGATATAATAACACTTAATTTCATGGACAAAATGGAATAGATGAAAGAAAAAGAATGACAAACATGTTTTGTTTTCAGAGAGTGCTTTATGTTGCTAAGTCATACACAAAATTATATACACCTATTTACATTTATCTTCCACAGAGAAACTACAACACATATTTATACAACAAGCAGTTTGAAAAGAGTATAGGAATTAAATCCTATATATATTTTTCTCACCAATAAAGTCCCATCAGAAGATTTGTTGGATAAACAATAATTACTAGGGCAAATGCTGCCAAAACTACTTGGCAGACATAGTTGTAGATATACCACATGGTATTTTTGGACCATTTAGAAAATAACAATAAATTACTTCATCACTCCCAGAAATTCGAGAAAAAAAGTTGTTTTTTTTCTAACTAATGAAAACCTTGTTCACACCTCTATATGAAATTAGATTTTGGATCTCCCTTATGGATATAAAAATAAAAGCCTACTGCTTCTCAAGGTTCAAAACATTTCCGAGGCCAGTTTGATCAACATGTGCATACACTCACACCCACACACATGCACAATGGAAGAGATGAGCCAGCAGCCAATGACTAAGGTGTGGTCTACACACTCACAGACACATTAGGCCAATCATCATAAAATCTGTTCACACATCCCACACTACACTAAAAACACTTAATTACTTGATAAAACAAACATCACTGCAAGGGAAATTGAGCATTTTATTGTTATTGTAT